TACTTAGACACTGAACTGAAATACGTAAGGTGAATTGAAGCCCCACTCTGTCCCATGTCTGACCATCCCGTGCAGCTGCGGTTGGTTCCTCAAGCTTCCTGACTACACTGCCCAGGGTATTTTCCCTCTCACTCTACTTCAGCAGCCTTTACAGATGACACTTGAAGCATTTCTTTCTTAAAGATTCACTTAATACCAGAGGCAATATACAAGAGTTACGAGTAGGATTGAACACAGTGATCAGTGGGGTCTTAAACCAAGTGGGGTGGGGGGAGAGAGGAAGCGAGTGCTGCTCATTAAAGCTATTTACCACATCACTTGTTAGTGATTCCTTTTCCTCTCTTTGCAGGTGGTCAAGTAAGACTTTAGAACAATAGTGATTTTACTCATTCTGATGGTGCCACAGACACAGATCCTGAGCCTATGAATTTCTTGCACTGTTTTTTCAGGCTGGGGGAATGACTCAGCCAACATTTAACAAGTTGATAGAGTTAGAAGTAAAGGAGGTGGTTTTGGCACCAGCTTTGTCCCCTAAGGGTGTTTGTTCTCTAATGGCATTAAACCATGGCACTGTGTTCTGTCACGCCCTGTCTTGTCAAAGTATTCTTCTGTGGGTCCAGTTTCACATAACATATGCTCATTTCTGTGCCTTTTCCTTTTGTAAAAACCACAGAGACATAATAAGGAGAATCCCATGCAAAGGGTAGTTGAAAGCTTTCTGTAGAGGTACTGTAAGAAAGAGTGTGTGTGTGTGTGTTCCTGTAGCCTCAGTACCTGTAGTACTGTCAGTCTAGAGCCTCACTGGGGAGTGTCATCAGTCAGTTAATCCCAGTCACTGGTTTGGATTTAAGCATTTGTCTCAAACCAGGACAGTATTTAATACATTACTCAGGCTGTGTAAACTAAACACAGCACAATCATTCTGTATTCCAGTTGGATTATATAAATGCAATCTAATCAATGCGGTCATCTAAGTTGTTGTTCTGTAAGCTTGGGGAAAAAAAAAGTTATCAGGAAGATCAAGATAAAGAGGCTGGTCTACGGGAACAGACACAGTTTGCTGTGTTGAGGATGTTCCTGCCCTTAAATTGATGAACTGTTCAGGTATGCTGCTGGTGGTGGTGTGAGAGGAGGTTTGTCAACACAAGTACCTCACACCCATCTTGTAGGAGCTGTTAGTGTCTGTAAATGAGAGAATTGTTGAATATGATACTCTCCGGCTTCCATATTTTTGTCACATTTGTATTTTTAACCGGGCAGGAGACTGCAGTGTTCTTCAGTTAGCACTGTATATGTTCAGTGTAGGCTGGAGATGCTGAGCCAGCAATAGTTTCCTAAGCGTCCACTCAAAGAAAAGAACAGATGCAGCCTCTAAATCCTTGAGTTGTGTCTGAAGTGGCTAACTCTCAAGTGCTTTAGTCCTACGTGATCACTTGAAATGTGTTACATCTGCAATACTGAGAGGAGTCAGAATGCTGAAGGGACAAATGATAGGAGCAATAGGAGAATCATAGAATTTCCCAGGCCGGAAGGGACCTCCAAGGGTCATCTAGTCCGACCCCCCCGCAGTCAGCAGGGACACCCCCAACTAGACCAGGTTGCCCAGGGCCTCGTCGAGCCTCTCCTTGAATATCTCCAGGGATGGGGCCTCAACCACCTCCCTGGGCAACCTGTTCCAGTGCTCCACTACCCTCACAGTAAAGAACCCCCTTCTAATCTCCAATCTAAATCTGTTCCCCTCCAGCTTGAAGCCATTTCCCCTCGTCCTGTCACTACAGGCCTTTCTAAACAGGCTCTCCCCAGCCTTCCTGTAGGCTCCCTTCAGGTACTGGAAGGCTGCTATTAGGTCTCCCCGGAGCCTCCTCTTCTCCAGGCTGAACAACCCCAGTTCCTTCAGCCTGTCCTTGTAGCAGAGGTGCTCCATCCCCTTGATCATCCTTGTGGCCCTCCTCTGGACCCTCTCCATCAGGTCCATGTCCTTCTTGTATTGAGGGCTCCAGACCTGCACACAATACTCCAGGTGAGGTCTCACCAGAGCAGAGTAAAGTGGCAGAATCACCTCTCTGGACCTGCTGGCAACGCTTCTTTTGATGCAGCCCAGGATG